ACCAACCAACACCAGCGCAAGGATAGTATTACTCGCCGCCAACACCTTCAAACTATCCTCCCTGCCCAGAATCTGCCCCTGCTCCACATCCACCCCCTCATCCCCACCACCACCTCCACCATTCTTAACCAACTCATCCCCATAAACCCCACCACTAACCAACCTCAACCCCTTAACAATATTCGCGATATACACCGTAATCCCACACATATACAGCACGAGACTAGCGCCATCGAACAACATATTACTTTCGGAGGGTTTGTAGAGCTTCATGATCAGACCCAGAAGACCCAGGAAGATGACGATGTGCAGGATGCGCGGGATTAGGGGCGGCGAGGCGTGCAGGAATCGGAGGTGCGATTCGAAGTAGTCGAAGTGGGTTGCTGGGGTGGGGGTTGTGGACCACAGGATGGGGTAGTCGTAGGGGAAGAGGGAGAAGATGAGGCCGAGGAAGAAGGATGTTGCTATTATTGATTCGTTTTGTTAGTGGGTTGTTGGTTGGTAGGTTGGGGGGTGAGATTGGGGGGAGTGTGAGTGTTTGGGGGAGAGGGTATGGGGGAGGTGGTGGCGTACGGCAGACGATTAGGAAGGTCGCAAAGGACCCGTTGCGGAAGGCCATGGTGAAGGCCGACGGGGTAGTATTCCCGTGGGTTTTTGAATGGAGTGGATGTGGATGAGGTTGGATTGTTGAGGGGAGAGGAAGAGGAAGAAGAGGAAGAGAAGATGGATGAGATATCGGAGGTTAGAGCGGGCTTGGCGCGACCGGGTTGGTTCCAGTTCCAGTTCAGCCTAATCGCCTTCTAATCTACTTATCTACTTAGTTGACTGCTTATTTGTTATCTACCCATTACCAATCCGCCATTATAATAGTACTATACTAGTACTGCACTATGCATGCAACTCTATTATATACGCCCTCAATGCCGCAGGCTGCTCATAATTAATCCCAAAAAATCCAAACATTGCAACGTAGATGGTATCTCCCGGTATCCCGCAATGCAAGCAATAGAACTCATCCTGACAAACGCCTTTTTATTCTCACCGCTGATATCGCGGTAATGCCTCGTCGCCGCGCGCCGCGCTGCCCACCAGCTGATGGTCGCCTTCGTCGTCGTGGAACACCGGCGCCGTCGGCGCATCCGTCGACCTGCCAGGCGCCTCCATAACTTCCACATCGTCGGGCGCACTGACTTCTGTCATCAACCGCTGTCGCTCAAGCTCCTGCTTATCCTCTCCAGGCGGTTCGGATCCACTCGCACCCGCCGCGCTGCTTCCAGGCACGACGGTCTGCACCGACTCCGCAGAGATCACCGCCCGCGGGGTCCCATTCTCCGTCGGTGACGGCAGGTGGTGGTAGTCGTTAAGATGGTCGTCCTCCGGCAGCACTGGCGCCGTCGGAATCGCCATCTCAGATGGCCCAACCCCGGCATCGTCAGGCGGGCGACTCGGCAGGAGCATCTGCTCAGCCCGCCGGAGCCGGCTCTTTTCATCGCTCGGCTCGTCAGCTGGCGGTGTCGACACCATCTCCCCAAGGTGATATGCCTGTGGCTCGCCCGGGTACTCCTGACCTGCGTATTCAGGCCAGTGGGATGGTTCCCGCGGGAAGCCGTAGTCTTCTTGCGCCACATATTCACCTTCGGCGTTGGGGGTCGGGGACTGGTCGGTATTCCATGTCTCGCCGTCCGGGCCAGCGGGCTGCTGATTAGGATCCACTGGAGCGGACGTGGAAGGCGTGCGCTCTGCTGCCTTCACGCCGCGCTGCGAGTCACGCGTCCCAATGACCACTTCGAACATCACCGCCACCACGCCCTTTTCACGTCGAATCTGATCGGTGTCCAGAATGTTACCCGCCCAATTCGCCGTAATCACGCTGTTGTTGACATCGGCCGGGTTCAACACCTGCCCGCTGGAGGAGAAGTTGCCGCCCGAGGAGACCATGTTGAACCGGGGCAGAAACCGGTCCGGCGAGGTGAGCTTGCCCCGCAAGTCGACCACCACTTCCACATAGTACCGGAAGTTGATCATGCTGCCTGGCGTGCGCGTGATGGTCGGAAATGTATCTTCGGGCACCCGGATCGAGGTCTTCACCAGCGCGGTGAGGTTTGTAGGGTCCACCACCAGCGGTGCAAATGTCTGCGCTAGATCCTTGCGGAACACCCCAGTGGTGCGGCTGCTGCCAAGTGTCAGGCCGCCCAAGCCGGTCCGCGAGCGCGGATAGTAGTCTTCGTAAATGGGCTTCTTGCCATCCGCGGGTTTCCCCATCGGGATCGCGGGTTGGAGGTCAATCCGCCCCTGGCGATACAATGTCACGATGATCCCATGCGCGCTGCGCACCTGCTTGCAGTGGTTGATGGTGACATTGATCGGCAAAGTATCCCCCGGCAACACGCCTGCGCGCAGCACTTCTGCCTTGGCCATAATGGTCCGATCCGTCGTGGAGGGGGTGATGCTCCGGGCTTCGCTGTTCCGCATCCCAGTGCTCGTCGATGAGCTCGGGTCGCTGGGAACCTGGAAGCTCAAACTGCTATTGCTCCGCCGACTCGATGAACTGACATTGCTGGGCGCCGGGCTCAGAGGGGGGCGGTTGTCAATACTGTTGCCGCCGTGGGCTGACGGATCGATGGAGAGTGTATCAGGCGCGTCAGATCCGGCTGACTTGGCCTTTGCCTTCGACTTGGACCGTCGGGTAATCGGCTCGAGGGTGACGACGCGCGGCTTAGGTGGGGGAAAGGGCGCGATGTCAATGTTTTCTAGGACGTTGACGCGTCTCCGGCACGTCGAGGTCGGGTTGATCGTCGTCGGTTTGGTCAGGGTGGATGTAAGCATATAAGATATCGTGCCTCGTTCGAACTAAATGCGACTGCGATCAGTATGGCCCAATAAAATCCATACGGAAGGGGATCCACGCACATTGATGCTACTGGGTAGCGCATACGGGGGAAAGCACATCTCAAAGCGAAACTTGTAGATTCCTTCTTTAAGCCGACCTTCCCCGCAAAGTACGACCTCGTCTTCGAACAATGTAGACAGGCCATTTCCCAGATATTCGGCACCGCGACGCCCGCGCCCCGGTCCCAGAAAGCCCAAATCCGGGGCCTGTTCACCCGGGGGCACGGTGTTCTTGAAGACCTTGACAAAGCCATGGAGACAGACCACCAGATGTGTAATGCGAACGGGCCGTACCACTGTAAGGACCACGGTCCCACTGATCACATCCCCGGGAAAGTATGAGCGCCAAGGATCGTCCGGTTCGATGTAGAAGTCGGTGATGCTGCGATTTCGTTGACCGAGTTGGGAGCGAAATTTGGAGAGGAGGGAGCTGCGATTCCGACCGAGCGGCGAGGGGGGTTGTGAGGGGAGAGGGTTGACGGACATGACACACGACCCAATCCATGCACGAGGAGGGAGGGAAGGGAGGAAGGAGAAATGGCGACCGGAAGTAAGGAAGTCGGAATCAGGCGGACAACGAGCTGCTGAGGGCGGGATTCAGGGGAGGGGCGGGTGGACGATTGGGGGGGGTGGGAGGACTGAAGGAGGGGAAGAATGAGGCTGGCAGGACCGGGGCTCAGCAGCGTCACTGCGGTCAGTCAAGTGACGAGACGGCGACGAAGAGGTGGTGGTCGATGCGGACGCAAGGGGGAGCGAGTCGATGAGGAGCAAGAGTACACCGTCCAGATCTCGAGAGTCGAGGGAGACGAAAACGCGATCGAGACAGCAGGGAAATTCTCCGTCCAGACACCATCGATCAATCTACCGATAAACCGGCCCGATGTGTCCGTCGGGCGCAAAGGCAGCAGCGACAGGAGGAGCAGCAGCAACAGCAGCAGGGTGAGTCTCTCGACCGGTCCAGGACCAGTTCCAACCCCAGCCGCAGCACAGACAGCACTAGAATAGCCAAGCGCGCGTCTTTAGTGGGATGAATGGGTCCCCTTGTTTTGCTGGTCGCTGACGATGCGGGGAGTTTGGTCGGGGAAGATCGTGTCTCAAATCTCGGAGTTTGGGGGAGGGGGGAAAGGAAAACGAAGAAAGGAAAGGAAAAGGGAGAGACGAAGGGGAAGAAGACAAGTAGGGAGAGGTATCAACAGTAATGGTGACAGGCCCGCATCATTTCTCGGCTGGAATTTCCCACGATCACGGCCAAAGGGTTGACAGAATAGCCCCTATAACCGGGATATGCTGGAGGGGAGGGAGAGGGGGATGGATGATGGAAGGGAAAAGGAATGGATAGTCCCGGGAATTAGTGTGGAGGGAGTCAATCACGGGGAGGAGGAGGGTTGGTAAGAGGATGACAAAAGAGCAGTCGGAATGAACAGGACACGCAGGAAGTAGTCGCGAATGGTAGTAGGGAAGAAAAGAGGAAAAGAAAGGAATGGATCCGTATGGAGAAAGGGGAGAGAGAGAAAGAGGAAGCGTCAGCAGTACGGCGTAGTAGGAGGTGTCAAGCAGAGAGAGGGAGTGATGGATGGAGAAAGAAGAAGATGATGGAGGGATGGAGATAAGCAGCCCGGCTTGTGGTCGAGGTCAAGCTTCTCTTGGGCCGTTCGTGGCTCGGCGGTTTCCACTCGGAGCAAATCGACTTTCCACTGATTCTATTTTCTGTACGAATTGGCTTTTTGGTTTTGCCTGCCGTGAGCTGAAAATATGCTTGTAGGGCATGGTGATGATAATTATTATTAATATTAGTCTTTTACTTATTAGTATTATTCTCCCACCATTTTCCTCTCCTTGACTAGTCACATTGACCACCACTCGTGGCTCATTAACTCGAAATAAAACTGACTAACGAATTAGTCCCTCTCAAATGGACCAAGTTAACCACAAAGTACTACTAGTTTAAACTAGTTAGTTAGTGGTGAGAAGCCGCTGACAAACTTCCCGGCGGATGGATTGATGGCTTCCATGACGGCCCATCCTAATAACAACCACCACCACCACCACCACCACTAATCATTCCTAAGCATCAACCACATCCAATCCATCCATTAGTGATCAGAACAGTACTACTTCATCTCCATCTCTAGCTCACGCAATCCTTCCCCCTCCACGTATTCTTCCCCATAACATTCCCGCTGCACCATCCGCAATACTTCCCGATCCCCTCCGGTCACCTTATCCACATACCCTTCCAAGATGTAGATGTTATCCGTCCACTGATGTGCCAGTCGCCGATACTCCTCCGTCTCCTCTTTAATCTGCGGTAAGCTTTTCCCCTCCGGACTCGTCGCCAACGCCATCCACTCCCCCTGCAGTTGATGTGTCTCCCGCTCGAGCACAGCCTTCTGCTCCATCAATCTCCGGCGCTCTTCCTCACCATTCCCATTCCCATTCCCATCCCCATCCCCATCCCCATGCGCCTCTTCGGCCTCTTCCTGCACTCTCGCCTGCTTTCGCGCAGACAATCTAGCCTCCGCATCTTCCCAACTCCCTCGGACCCGATCCACCTCCCTCCGTAACCTCCGGATCCGCTCCTCGCGCTCTTTCTTCTCCTCTCCCCCAAAACACCAATACCAATTCCCACTACCGATCTTCTCAACCCGGATCCGTCCCTCATCCGTCAATTCCTGAATGTACTCCTTCACTTGCATCCCATTAATCGAGGCCACCGACGGGATCATCTTCTCCAGATCCTTCAGGGTGTGGCACGTCCCTGTGGCCCGCAGATGTGAGACGATCAGGGCTTGTTTGGCACTCCTGGAAAGTTTAGGCGGCTAGCTCGACACAATAGTTATTTTTTTGTTTTTCTTTTTCCCGTCTAACTTATTTTCTTTCTTGTTTCGTAAAAAAACAAGACAAAGAAACAGACAGACAGACACCCTTGGACTAACGCACCCACTAAGGCACATAGTAGTAGTGCTTGCTTCCTTAGTGGCCTTGATGGGGTGCCCAATCACTCGCCCCATTGGTTGCGGGGAAAAGACGGAGGCGTCGACGTACCATGGTCAGGCAGGTAGCCTTTAGCTACTTGCTGTGTGTCTTGGACTTCTGCTTATGCCTGGACCCTGTGGAGAGGGGAGGGGGGAAGGTGTTTCCTGTTTGAGGTTGCTGACAGGCATAAACGAGATTAATTAGTGGGGTCGGAGATGTCCTGCTGGTGAGATACTGACAGTAAGATGGATGGAGTCGAGTGATGAGGATGGACCGGTGAGTGTGTGTCTACTTCTCTACTACTAGTTCTGGACACCCCAAACAGTAAAAGTTCCCCCCGGTCATGTGGCATCACGGGGTTGACTTCAACTATAATGGCCTCGGTATTTGTTTGTTCTCCCCGTAGGGCTGCTGAGTATTCATTACTACTGGCAATCACGTTCATGACCTGCAGTTACAGGGGAGCATCCCCTGTGATAATGACTAGGCGCCTTCTATTTTTCTATTTCTGTTAAATGTTTTGCCCTTACTGGATACAAACCCCGCTCTTCTCATCCTTGCAAGGCAGGCACTGGGTCGATGCGCGACATCATCGCCGGAATTCGTCTTCTCCGGTCTGTCCTTGTAGGGAGAGATACGTAGGTCTGCTGACACTGTCCCCCGATCCCTTGTCAAGCAATCGGAACGGCGATCTCTCTCTAACGGGCTGTGTGTGACACAAGGTATAGATAACACGCCAGAATTGATACCTCGCTACTGTTGTGTCATCACCACGGTTTGAACAAGGAAGAAGACAACAGAGGACCGTCCTATCATCGAAATATCCTCACCATACCGACGCGGCACATCAAACAAAGCGCCCCATATGATAAAGCCTAAAGGGGGCTACAGACTTCACCCGGGCAAACAAACCATCTGCACAGTTCGACCTCAGACCCTTGTCCATATTTCTATACAATAATCCCCCCGTTCGCTTAACCTACCTACCTCCTACTTTCCCGACTCAAAACGCACAGATCACGCAATTTTCTCACTACTGTATAATATACAGCACCCAGTAAATAGGGCATCCATCCAGCCGATGCAGATCTTTTCAAAGACACCACGCACGGATCAGGTAATTGCGTGTGTATTCCATACAAGCGTGCAGCTCACGGACTTGAGCAAAAGCTTGTGTCAGCCGATGCCCATCCTGCCCTTACCACTGTTGGGAAATTATCGACCAAAACACACGTCAGCTGAGTGAGAATCCTAAGTAGTAGCGAAGACGGCTGAAGGGGAAGCAAAAAGGGTCTGAGACACTCTGAGGCAAGATAAGGTTTTCTTCGACGGCCAGTCTATATCGCGGTGAGCTATTGCTTATGAAACACGGCTATGGGCGGCGGTCAGAGGGGGCGAGAGGATTATCCCCCCTCCACTCCCTCCCTTTTGTCCGTGAGTAAGTTGGTGCTGCTACTGGGATCTCGCCGATGCCGGCTTTCTCCGGCGTCTGCTTTGGTTCACCTGCAGGGGCTGCCTTTGTACTGCGGTGTGCGGGTTAGGATGTACCGAGGGGAGCTACTATAAGCGGTTAAGGTATATTTTTGCATAAGATGACGGACATGAAATGCTTAGCATAGCTTGCTGATGTACGGGTAGCCTGTTCCTGAAGTGCGGTTGGGTGCCTAGGCAATCGTTAGTTATGCGGTGCACGGCAGGATGCAGACTTCGGAGACTGATCAGCATTTTTGCAGCCCTCTTGAGCTGGTTGTTTGATTGTCTCATCTGGTCGGACTGCTAACGGAGTGATGCGTGGATTCCGGCAGTGGTGACCTTGATTGTGAAATGGCGGCTTGTCGCGGGAAAAGACATGATGACATGTCATCTGACTGGCCGTTTTTTCACGCCAGAGCTACTTTCTCGTATGCAGTATGAAACATATTTAGGTTACAGGTAAGGCATTTGGTGGATGCTATTAAAGTATTGTGGAGGAATTTGAATAGAAACAGGATATTCTGATACAACGTGCATTCCGCAAACTTTGTTCAAACGGTCAAGGAATGCTTGGGTGAAGAAGCGTGAGCAGCAATTGACCCTGGGGTGCATGAAGATGGACGGGCCAGTCCAATCAAGGTTCAACGGCATTCCAGCAGATGCACCAGCCAAGATCTTGGCGGCGCCGGGTCGACGATGATCGCGGGCTAAGATTTGCGATGTGCAACATGCATAGGGCTCTGGCTCGTGAGGTTGACCGGGGCTGGGTGAGGTGACTGATCGTATACGAAGCAAAGACATGATGCTTCTTATTGCTGCCTCGATTGGACAGTGGTATGTAAGGACCTGGCTGGAGCCGAGACAAGCTTGCTGTACCCACGAGCCAAATGCATCTTAATCTAGTGGCTTGCTGAAAGATGAGATCTTTTGATCCCTTACAGTTGCGCATCCAGCCAAGCAATGTTGACATCAATCCCCGCGTGTCGTATTGACCTCAACCTCTGGTTTTGGTGCCCTAATGATGAGCGGTCACCATAGGAATATGCGACCTTGAATGGTGCTCGGGTGGATGATGCATCGGTAGTCTTGCAAGGTAGACCATGCCACAGGTACAATAACCCCTGAGTAGCTTGCTAGACCTCACCACCTCTCATCATCTTCCATGTCCAGCTCAGCGGCGGAGGTCATTTTACGACCCAACTTGCGCTTCTTTGGCCGCCTTTTATTCACCACCACGCTCTCTAACTCATCGCCCGAGCTCGCCATCGTACTACTCTGACCGGTATTTGCTCTTTTGCGGCGCATTGTTCGGCTGAGCTGAGGGACTAGTGGTAATTCGTCTGTCGGGATTTCCTCTCCCTCCACGAGCACCATGTCTCCGGTTTCACCCAGAGATTCCTTGGCCATTTCCTCCATCAGAATCCCCATAGCTATCAACGCCGTCTCGTCCATGCTCTGGTAATCATCCCGTCCTCCGTCGATCGTCGCATGGTCATAGTAGTCGGCCGAATATGCGTGAATGGCCTCGAGCAGCTCGGAGCTGGGTAGGGGGCAGCCGGGCGGGAGGGCCTCATGAGCAAAGTAGAAATCGTTTTCTTCGTAGCGCTGCGGGGCGTTTTGTCGACGGAAAAGTACTTCCTCCGGACGGACTGGACGAGTGCTGGACGATGCGGTATCGCGGTATTTGGAAGAGAATGGGACCGATGGCAGAAAGCCATGATGATTCACCCGACCTGGACACAGTCAGCCTGCTGAAGCGGGAGACAAGCCACATGAGCACTAACCGGCAACGGCATCGTAGACAGTCGCTTGTCGCTTCTGTCGTCTGGCGCCGAACTCATCTTGTTCCTGGGCTTCGACAACATCGGGGGTGGGAGGCCGGACGAAGGAATTCTGGCTCAATGCAAGGGATTTGCCGTAGGACATAGTCCCGGATTAGCTAGAGCCGCCCGTGCGAAAGCATCAGGAAGCTTATTCCCAGGGAGGACCGGACAGCTGGAGGAGACTCTGCCGGCGGGCAAGTTGATACTTCCGATTGCTTTTGCGACGTCCGGAAGATTTTCCCCTTCGTGATTGGCATTCCGGCACAACCTTTCTCCGGCAGGTGTTGCGGTCATGTGAGAGCAAGTCATTCCATCTACTCATCACAACAACATCTCTGCCTTCTCTAGATATATCCATACGGAGCTCGGAGAAGAGCTCTATTGGCCTAATGAATGAATGCGTATCTTCTCAATAGGGTTTTGGGGTCCATAAGTCCCTCAACCTTTCATGTCGCACAAACCACGCGACTTGTTCAACAGCTCGAGCCGGCGCCTGGCATTCGCTTCTCAGCACGTAGAGACATTCCCTTAGGAGGGAGTCAAGAGGATGCAGGCTTGATCTTTGATGATGAGGTATTTGCTCACAAGGCGGGAGTGAATGTGCTCGCCATCGATCACTATGATGGCCGATTGTATGTTACACTCACCCTGTGCCTGGCTCCAATTAACGGTAGACAGCATGGTCTCTGGGGGTGCAGATCCTTCAATTCATCTGTGGGATTTGGAGTCACGAGGCTCAGATCTGAAACATGTGCACCAGTCCGTGGCATCTGTCAACAGAGCCTCGCACGAAGATGCCCACACACGTGCCATTACTTCCGTCTCCATATACCCATTTGATCCTACACCGTCTACTATCTTGACAACCTCGTACGATGGTACACTCAAGCTTTCGGCTTTAGCCCCAGCGGCTATTACACCTGTGCACACTTTCAATCTAGACTGCACACCGTACAGCCATTCGCTGTCATCAAATCCAGCGTCTCCTTTGCTCATTGCTGTAGGTACCTCGGAGAAGCCGGTCCGACTACTTGACCTACGTTCCGGTCTGTCGACACATGGTCTACCTGGACATGAATCTTCAGTCCTGTCCGTATCATGGGCTCCTCATCAGCCACACATCCTGGCCTCCGCGTCGGCGGATAATAGAGTGATTCTCTTCGACATCCGCCGGGGAGGCCACAATTCAGCGATCGCAGCACTAGACATGGATGATGCTGTTGGACTCGTGCGCCCGGGATCCACCCCAGCATCCTGCCAGAGCCGCCCAGCATTCTCGCCGCACGCTCGAGCCCATAATGGCGCCGTGACGGGTGTGCGGTGGACATCTACCGGTAGTCACCTGGTAACCGCTGGTCAGGACTCTCGGATTCGAGTCTGGGATGCTGGAACAGGTGCGAACACGCTTGTACACTTCGGTCAGCGTGTCCGGAACAGTGTGACTTCTCACCTGGCTGAAAGGGCACCGCTCATTATACCTCGCGGAGTGGTCACCCCTGGGCAAGAAACGCTCTTATGGCCAAACTTTAATGAGAGAGATGACCGTAGGGAGATCTTCATGTTCGAACTTCGAGAGGGGGCTTTTGTCAAGCTTCTTCGCGTACCGGGTCTCGTGACCGGTCGCCAGCAGTTCCAGGGCCGCTCCAGTGCCCTCAGCGCTGCCAGGATCAACGCCCTTGCTTGGCGCGGTAACGGTGCCTCAGGAGAAGGGATCGAGATGTTTTCGGCCCACGGCGACGGAACCATTCGCACTTGGGCCTCACGGGAACCCGAGGGTGAGCCGGATGATGAAGCCGAAGAAGCCGAACGAGCAGACCGCAAACGCAAGCGCGATGTTCTCGACGAGATCTACCGGGGATTTATAGGCTAACTGTACGACGAAGAATTCTACGAAAGGACAAAACATAGCACAAGATAGAAATATCGTTTCGTTCATCTATAATACATCATATTCATGTCGAGCATATACCAGATATGCATATCATTTACTCGTTCCTGATCTGATGCTCGCCAATAGCATCTTCGTCCTCCCCGGAGAACCGCTCGTAAGAACTGCGGTTAAGATTGGAGTGCTTCAGGTTTCTGGACTCGCCCTTGGCACCAGGGTGATTGGTGCCGATCAGGGTCCTCTTGGACTCGCCTTCAGCCGGGAAACTATCACCAGTTCCGGTGATGACTTCGCCTGAGGGAGCCATGTCTCTTGTGCTGCGAGGCATATCGGTGGCGTTGTCGGCGGCAAAGGCGGAGGTCGGGTGAGCGATACCGTAGTTATCGAACTGAGAATCTTCGGAGCGCTGATCAGGGCGAGGAACGGAGGGGATTGTGTTCATGATGCCTGCATCATTGGGAATGCGAGTGCCCTCGGGAGCCATGTCCTCGAGACGTCCGCCGCGGTGAGGGTCAGAAGACATATTGAGTGGTATGGTGGTATTTGAGCTTGGTGAAATTTTGTGTTGAATTGAGTGAATTTGATTATTGTCGAGCTTGGTTAGGTTTGATCTGGATGGGCAAGAGACCACCAGGCCAAGTCAGTTTATATAGCTGATGAGTCGGGCTGGACTGACATCTGATGTCACTGTCCAGGCGCGGATGGAGTCTGGGCCATGATGAGGCTATGATATCAGCAGGGTCCCAACGTGCATCCGAGCGCAGGGAACCAGTCAATCGATGATGAAACATGCAAGGATCTATGGAATACTCCAACCCAAATCTAGCCGAAGATTCCATCGACTCCGGTCATCCAATTTGGAGACGAAGGCAAATCAACGTCAGTCCCTAAGGTACCCGCTATACGTTGCCATACTATCACCACCCGCCCTTTCGGCACCACCACATCATGGTTTGCAACATTACTGCCCATCTGACAGGTACGCCATTTACAGATGGTCTTTCTTCCTTTCCGATATCTGATTTGCCCCTTCAACATCTTCAGCACTTTAATCTGAATAACGTCATCACCATGGTCATTTCTGACTCAGCATTCGGGACCCTTCCCGGCCAATCAGAAGGCATCCTCAGGAACAATGGCTTTAAGCTTCACTTCAACAACCACCATCCGTGGAATGATACTTTATAGAGGCCTTATCTGTGTCTGCCTCGGTGCTTACATATTATTCTCCAAACCAGCGATGCACAGTATCAGTTTTTTTCGGTCGCAAACTCCCTCATTCAAACAACCAATGCGTTATCCACCTCACGCGGCGACCGGTTCTTGCTCTCCGTGCCAGTGTCGTGCAGCGAGGCAAGATACTACATACATACACGGGGTTATGTGATGGGGCGATAGGAGTTCAACATTTGGCACACAGTGCCAATCTCGTCAGGCGCAGCCGCGTCCCCATCACAAACACACTGCCCGCAAGCAGGAGAACGCCGGAGTAGACCTTCATTCCCCAGTAAGACCCGTCGTTATAGGCTAATATTGCTCCTCCAATGGACCCTGTTACAAGCCCCGCGATTGATGCGAAGAAAAAGTTCAGCCCAACCCAGTATCCAATTTCTCGAGGCGGGGCTATGGGTGCCACCAAAGCCACGAAAATACTATAGTAGGCCCCCGACGTGACTCCAAACAGTACATCAAAACTGATGATTGCTGAGTTGTTGGTACCCGGGATCCAAAGCGCCAACACCAGAATACCGGAGCAGACAGTACTAGAGATAAGACTGTTGTACGCGCCGATCTTGTCTGCGAAATAGCCAGAAAAAAATCGCCCAAAGAGACTACGACGTACATCAGTATATGCATGGTATTATGAAGAAGTGGGGTCAGAAACACACCTTCCAGCATTCTGAATAGATACGAGGTACTGCGACAGATTGTTCTGCATTCCCACAGCCAATGACGATGTGACGATATAGTTACTTGGGACCCATATACCAAAGCTCAGCAAAGTGCCGCCGGCAAGAAGCAAGACCATATTCACATCTCGGAAAGGGTGCAGGAGGTTCTGTCGATTCAAAACCTCTGGGCGTGGAGGCACGCGCTCCCTTACAGTGAGACCAGCGATAATAAGAAAAAATAACATCATGAATGCGACGATCCGCATGGCCCAACCGAAGCCGACTTTGGGGATGAGTCGGTTAACCATGATTGGCAATATGATGCCCGCGATCCCTGACGAAGACGAGATGATTCCGTATGCCAATCCGCGCCGTTTGTTGAACCAATTAGGAATGACACTCAAGACTGGCTGCGCTATGGCGCAGAGTCCTATTGGACTACAGATGCCCTGTGCGAGCAGAACCTCATAGTATTTCGTGGATATAGAAGCCATCATGACCCCAAAAATATGAAAAAATGAGCCTCCGATGACGACTGCGCGCGGTCCGAAAGTATCACTCAGCCGGCCGACAATAGGACCCTGTATATCTCTCACAGCATCAGTATGCAGAACATAAGATCCGATGAGCAATCTATCTTCTTACCAAGGCAAGCATGAAGAAGACTTCAAACGAAGGGATCCACGCGATCGTACTCGCAGGATAGCCCGGGAACATGATATTCTGATAGTAATTCTGGAACACGCCAATACCTATCGTCAAATTGATATGATTGTCAGTTGTTCTGAATATCACAATCATCTCATCCATTGTCCACACAGAAACCTACTATGAAGCCACCCATAACTGGAAAACATCGCACACCATCCACCCACCACAATCAGCCACGCTGCTGTACCACCGTCAGGGACTGAGTCATCTCGGTCGTCTCGGTCGTCGGCTTGGGAGTCTGGAGTCGTCCGTCTAGATGGTGGGGTGGCAGACAGACACTCTTTAAACCTGCTGTGTCCCGGTTCTATCGTGTGAGTATGACGAGCATCTTGGACTGGGCTTCTTACTACCGAGATGGACATTTCGAATGACCCTCTTCGTCATAGAAAGGTGATATGTTAGTTGATAGAACTTCCTCCCCGCGAACAAATCACATATATCACAACACATCGCGCCCATCTCTAGCGCACTCTAATCAGAACATTCGCTGGCATCACCTTGAGATCAATTGGCTAGATTATTCTCCGACATGCATCATTAAGCCCATTAAGCACATATCACCACACCGTTGGAACAATCGAAGCTCATGCACAATGAAGATCAGCGACCCTATACAGTTGGCACAGCGAACATTCCCAGACCTTATTATACACGGTACAGGTAGTCCATATTACACCTATCAGAACCATCTATTACAATATAGTATCTATCTATCTACTTTGGTAAAATTGAAAATTATTTCCCAGAAAAGCAAAACCGGAAATACCTTTGTCAGACAAACCAGATACGGTCGGTGTACCTGTACGGAACCACATCTGGACCCAGAACTCAAGATAACCTCCGACGCATGCATGCTGTAGCGTGCCAGATGGGATATCATATACATAAGCCGATCGTGGCACGATATCACTAAGCTATAGTTATGTGGGTAGTGAGTGTACAGGGATATAAGAAAAGGGTTGGAGAATGGGTCCTCAGCTAGTCGTTTTCATGATATTCATCATCATCAAGCGCTGTAAAGCATCATGCTCTAGATAACTAACTATTTAGCGTTCTTAGGCCTGAGTGGAATTACTGCTGCTGCTCACCGCCAGTTCGCAGATGCCACATGGCTTTACCGACACATGCACGATAGTATGCGTTGAAGGTTGTTTCATGTAAGGAGACCCGGCTAGCTACAACTTTGATACCGATATGGCGGGTTGAAGGACGAGCTACGTGTACGTTTATAAGTGAAAGAACATCAAGCATGGTTGCATTAGATTCGAAAGAGAAAGGTAACAGATACATGCAATCAATTAATGCTGAAAGCGAGTGACACGGTTTATGAACGAAGGGCATCCGAAATAGAGGATGAGGCAAAAGAATGACATGAAATGTATGGGACATTCTCGGGATTAATGGATCCACGGGCAATCTGCATCTGCATGGCTTTTACAAGATCAGGGCCAGAAGGGCGACCAGGCCTGTGACGATGGGGAAGAAGCCATGCGCCGGAGCCACCTGTGCGCCTGCGCCTGTGAACATGATGCTGTTTGTCGAAGGAGTAGGCGTAGAGGAAGGTCCGGGCAGGTCGTAGCGGAAAGATGGCTCGGAAGCGACGGAGCCGCTGGGCTTGGGTGTGGGCACCCCGAGGCTGCTGGCGGCTGCGGCTCCACGGAAGGCTTCAGTGGGTGCAGGAACGTAGACAGGGATCATGTGGAAGGTAGAGGCCTCTTGAATAGTGATAGTTGAGGCGATGCTGTCCAAGTTGCCGGGGAAGGGGGCAGTAGGGGCAGGGTCCATGGCGACGTTGGAGCTCATGGCCACGGGCTGCTGTGCAGCAGAGGATGCCGCGACGTCAGGTACATGCTCTGGCTCCGAGGGGTCGGAGTTGTACAGAGCTGATACACCAGTTGGGTCGGCAATGGAAGCAGCGCCATTGTACATGGGGTTGGAGGGGGCGGCAGCTGGCGTGGACTCGGCAGGTGCGTTGTACATGGGAACGGACTCAATGCTGGGCCCGGTTGGCTGGGCTGGGGCATTGTAGAAGGGTGTGGACTCTGCAGCGCCTGCGGCGACTTCAGGTGCATTATAGGCGGGGGTGGATTGAGCGACAGCATCAGCGGCCCCTGTGAAAGGCTCGTTGAAGACAGGTGCCCCATGTCCTCCATGTTCAGGGAGTCCCGTGTTCCGACTCGGACCACCGCTCAATGTGCGGGTAACCGTGTGGACAATCTCGTGGACGACTGGTGAGGCGCAGCTTGAGCTTGAGTCAACATCCTTGGCCGAATCATCTTCACCGGAGTGAGCAATGGGGTCGACTCCCACATCATGTGGTTTGCTGGAGTCATGCGAGTCGTGCGAGTCGTGGGGTTCAGTTGGCTCATGATGAGCATCCACGTCAGTGTCCTTCACGTTGGCGGAGACAGAGTGGTCATCACTGTAAGCTTCATTGGTAGCCTGGCCGTATACATTGGTCACTGGCAGGATGGCGGAGTTCCCAGTGTCGATTCCAGATTCACCCTGAATGAGACTGCCATCTGCGCGGTGATGGTGCCGGTGCGGCTCATCCACATGGGTTTTCTTGGAGTCCACATCAACCGAATGATCATCCTCATCAGCTTCGTTGTATTGAGACGAGAAAACATTCGTAATCGGGATGGTCGCAGAGTTTCCAGTGTCGATTCCTGACTCGCCCTTGATCAGGTCCCGGGGTAGATGTGGGTGTCCACGGAAGTGTTCGTGCTCGGGACGATCAATTGCTGTATCTTTAATATCTGCATCCACGGAGTGGTCATCCTTGTGGACTTCATTCTCCTGAGATGAGAATCCATTGGTGATAGGAAGGCTAGCAGAGTTCCCTGTATCGATTCCTGATTCTCCCTTGATCAGATCGCGGGCATGGTGGTGGTCAGGGCGGGCATGGTGGACAGGCACACCCTTCACAGCTGTGTCCTTTATGTCGGCATCCACAGAGTGGTCATCCTTGCTAGCTTCATTGTACTCAGAGCTAAATGCATTGGTGATTGGAATTGTAGCAGAGTTCCCGGTGTCAATGCCAGATTCCCCCTTGATCAAGTCGCGTGGGTGATGGGGGTGGGGATGGCCATGGACAGGTACTGGCACGGGCACTGGCTTTGGGTCTGGCTTCTCCTTTACCACAGTGTCCTTCGTGTCTGTGTCCACCGAGTGGTCATCCTTGCTAGCTTCGTTATACTGGGAACTAAATGCATTGGTAATCGGAAGAGTAGCGGAGTTGCCAGTATCGATACCAGATTCTCCCTTGATCAGATCTCGTGGGTGATGGGGGTAGGGATGAGGCTTAGCCTGGTGGGCCTGCACGGGGACGGGCACCGGCTTGGGCTCTGGCTTCGGCTTCTCGACAAGCGTGTCTTTCACGTCAGTGTCCACCGAGTGGTCATCCTTACTGGCCTCATTCTCCTGGGATGCGTAAACATTGGTGATGGGAAGACTAGCCGAGTTGCCAGTGTCAATTCCCGACTCGCCCTTGATCAAATCCCGAGGCCAATGTCCGTGAGGGTGATGCACGGGCACGGGCACTGGAACCGGCTTGGGCTCCGGCTTGTACTTTATCGCAGTGTTTTTCGAGTCCACATCAACGGAGTGATCGTCCTTACTAGCTTCATTGACCTGAGATCCGAAGCTGTTGGTGATCGGAAGACTGGCAGAGTTACCCGTGTCAATACCGCTTTCGCCCTTGATGAGATCACGGGGCCAATGAGGGTGGGGATGATGGTGCGAGGGTGTCTTGACAAGGGTATCCTTATCCTTGACATCTGCGGAGTGGTCATCCTCAGATACTTCATTGACTTCGTTGGACCCCACGTTTGTAAAGGGTAGTGAAGCCGAGTTACCGGTGTCAATGCCCGACTCCCCCTTAATCAAATCACGTTCATGATGATGGTGAGGGCGGTGCTCAGGCCTTGTAACATCAGTGTCCTTGACATTGACATCTGCGGAATGGTTGTCATTGTATGACTCATTGTCCGTGGAGCTGAAGACGTTCGTGATAGGAATAACAGCTTCATTTCCGGTGTCAATGCCAGACTCTCCGGAGATCAGATCACGAGGCCCATGGGGGTGAGGCAGTTTGTGGTGCTCGGGGTGGGCCTGTTTAGTGACATCAGTGTGCTTGACATTCACATCCGCAGAGTGATCGTCGTCATAAGACTCATTGTCTGTAGAACTGAAAGCGTTTGTGATAGGGATAACTGCCTCGTTGCCAGTATCGATCCCAGACTCCCCAGAGATAAGATCCCGTGGAACATGGGGGTGTGGGAATTTGGGGTGATCTGGTTGGTCGGGGTGTCCGTGGTGCGCGTCATCGAACACGCTCTTCTTCTTGTCCACGTCCACAGAATGGTCATCCTTGCTAGCCTCGTTCTCCTGGGAGCTGAACACATTGGTGATTGGCAAAGACGCACTATTCCCGGTATCAATTCCAGACTCCCCATTGATCAGAGTGGGTTCTTCACGTTCCCCGCGAACATGGTGGTGCGGCCGGTAGTGCTTTTCAGGATGTCCAGGCTCAACGACGGCCGTGTCGTCTTTGTTGAAATCAACGGCGTGGTTATCCTCGGTTGCTTCGTTATAGTTAGACGAGAATCCATTCGTGATGGGCAGTGATGCAGAATTGCCGGTATCGATGCCAGACTCCCCATTGATCAAGGTTGGTTCTTCACGTTCACCACGGGGGTGGTGGTGCGGCCAATGGTGCTTTTCCGGATGCTCAGGCTCGACGACAGCCGTGTCATCCTTATTAACATCCACTGCATGGTTGTCCTTGCTCGCTTCGTTATAGGAGGACGAGAATTCATTGGTGATCGGCAGGGAAGCAGAATTTCCAGTATCAATGCCTGACTCCCCCTTGATCAGATCGTCGCTGCCTCGCACCCAGTGGTGGTGCTCCGGGTGCTTCGCGTGCTTCGCGTGCTCCGGGTGCTCCTTGTCCACCACAGTCTTATCCTTGTTGATATCAGCAGAGTGATCATCTGAATGAGCTTCATTTACGGTGGAAGAGAATCCGTTCGTAATGGGCAGTGATGCAGAGTTGCCAGTGTCGATACCTGATTCCCCGCTGATCAGGTCCTTGTCGTCTCGCACCCAGTGGTGACCGTGAGGGTGGTGGTGCTTGTCCTCGTCGACAACCGTCTTGTCTTTGTTAATCTTAGACGAGTGGTCGTCGCTGTGCGCCTCATTGACAGTAGACGAGAAACCGTTCGTCACCGGCAACGATGCAGAGTTGCTTGTATCAATTCCACTTTCGCCACTGATCAGGTCAGGCTCTGACCGACCGTGGTGGTGTGGGCGGCTGTGAGTCGCACCTTTCACAGCACCCAGGTTCTTGTCAACATGAACGGAATGGTCACCCTTGTGAGACTCGTTCACTGTGTTCGACTTGACATTGATGTGCGGGTCGTAGTAATGTTCGTTGTCATTTCCATTGCCTTTTTGGTTGATTTCCTCCCTACGCCAGTGGTGGCCGTGGTGAGCATGCTCATCCACGAACTTCTTCTTCGCATCAACATCAACCGAATGGTCGTCGGAATGCTCCTCATTCGCAGTGGAGCTAAAGCCATTGGTAATCGGCAGCGATGCCCCTTGTCCACCATCCACACCACTTTCTCCCGAGATAAGTGTAGCCTTGGCCATGCTGGCGAGCATGGCAATGCTGATTCCGCTTTGAAGTCCCTTCATGTTGTCGGAAGATTACAATCGTAAAAGTTATTTCGAAAGGATAGAATACAGGGACGAATAGATCTTTATCAACGAATGACTTCGGCCAAACGGGCCAAGGGAAGATCAGTTAGAAGGAACGTAACCAAAGACTGACCGAATAAAAGAAAGACCAGGCTCTGGCAGTTTGGATAACTCGTACAAACAGTATCACAGGACCTTGTTGCACCTTTTATTTTCGATCCCTTCGGCGGCCATTTCCTTTGGTATGCGGCCGTCTTACAACCACTACAACAAACAAAGCTCGCCGGACATTGTTTTGACCGGAGAATGCCTTGAGGAATGGTTCAGACCAGGTCCTGTGGCCGATGGGCAGAGCATCATCAGCTCCCGTCGTCGCAGGAGACACCATCCCATTGTGCCGTCAGCATTCCTGGGGAATGAATCGCGCGGAAAACAGGGGACTGGAATGCCTGAACCACGTAAAACATCAGATCGTCATCGCTTGCTTTGGGGATGTCTAATACTGCCCGGCTGATGAGGAACGTTAGTTTACTTTGATGGTCATTACGCCATCGACACCCTGCAGACAGCTTAGGGAAAGGTGAATACTGTAATGCCAGCCAGTTCGGCTGTCAGTTCGGACGCCGCGTCGCGTGGCTTACTCCTGCCCGCATGCCAGACTCTCCGCGGCAGCTAGCAAATTTTCCCCCTGCCTTCAATCGAAGGTTCATTTAACAGGACTGTGGCGTCTGATTTGTTCTCAATTCGATGAGTCGACTACTGATATTAGAATTTATGCAGGTGTACGTTGATTCATCGATCAATTAAAATGTTTTTTATTCAAATTCATTGATGTTATAAATGAGATGTATCCCGTCATCGACATTCACCCCTCATCGCCCTCACTGAAGAGGACCCAACGAGAGACAAACTTCCTATCAAGGAATATTACTCTCCAGAGCCGATCAGTCCGTAGACCGAAGGCAACACGTCGCCGTAGAGAAGGCTGGACGACGGTCGTGGCAGGCTCTGTTAAAGCTTTTCGATGTATGTAGAAGAAAGGAAAAAAGAGGAGAAAGATCGTCGCTGCCGCCCGCTTTTTGTAGTTCGTGTGCGTCACGTGAGCACTCCCGCTTAGCTTAGTGTCAATTCACTCAGGCAGCCAGGCACCCGCATCTACCACGTCAGGCACCAACTGCTTCCGCATCAATTGCTCCTCTCTCGATATAGGGAAAGGTTCTATCATCAAAGCCCATCCATTCAACGCCATACCTGTAATCACAGCCTGAAGCGTGTGTCATGGCGATTTATGTACAAGTGCTCCCTGCCATTACACTCACATGTACACAGAAGCTCAACTCTCCACCCTTTGCTACCCTTGCCCAACCCTTGATTACATCCTTAGCCCATGACGCCTTGTTTGTACCGCAGTTCCAGTTCGCCCGAATCACGCATTGTGTGTCTGGAGCGATTGCTGAGAGAACCTTCAACTCCCTAGAGACAGATCTGGCTGCCACACTTCCCACCAGACTGACCACCAGCCACCCACCTACCCCCCAATCACCACCTGCTGGGTATCAGACTTCCACACGGCCCCTCCAACAGCAGCAGTAATTCCTAGCGCGATCGCAACCATGGTCCCAACTGTCACGACAGCAATCGTCGCCTTGACCGCCATGCGTTGCTTGCGGCTCAGTCTCTGCATCCATCCGCAGCGTCGCTTCTTCTGAGCCCAGAGCTTCGACTCACGGTGGTTCGCGCATTCCACTGGCTGTCGGTGAACCGTGGGCGGGTCTTCGGGATCAAGGGGGCTGTATCGTGTTGTTGTCGCTTTGGCGGCCTTTTTCAGTCGGTCGATAGTTAGTGATGGTGTGGCATGGCGATAGAATGGTGAGGATGGCTTTGCTCCATCTGCTGGATTGAATTCCCCTTGTTGTAGTTCGGGAGTTGATGCGATGGACGCGGCCTCAGGGACTGTGGGGAGAGGAGTTGATCCAGATGCAGTGCGTCTCTCTTTCTGTATCAGTGGATGATCTGTCGACTGACTGAGTGGACTCGTCATATTCATGCTGCTTAGGTAAAATGCGGCTGTAGAGATGTAGTTACTCCTGACGCAAGTGATGCTAGATCCGTGGAAGGATATCAGTTAACGGAAACAAGAGGGTAAGTGTTGATAACATAGGTGAGAGGGGTTTTAGGGGTAATGATATGGTTGAGGGGTTGCGAAGGTTGCGCCCCCTGGCTCAACACCTTGATGTTGGAAGGGGTTGGCCGATGGTGGCTTCCTTGGGGGTTGTACATCCACAAAACTCAGGGGGATTGTCCCACCTACATATGTACACCACAGTCTGCCCCTCTAGATATGATTAAACGTCTTGTAGATTTCTTATCGACATGACATTTCTTGTATTGTGAAGTTTGGGTGCTGTTAGAGAGGTATGGTAGCAGTCCCAATTGGTGTAGATTGGCTGGATTGCTGGGGGTATGGGAGAATCTTAAGGCCTGGAACGTGGCCACGGATGCAGGTCATCCACTGATTCACTGCTTGTAGAAATGCATCCACTCTAACTATCAGCGTGGTCTGCTCAGGTGGACTTGCTTGCTTATAGACGTGTGATTTATGAATGTCTCCTGAAGACTATAGATAGAATTTATTTCATACTAGTGATTGAGTGTTCGTAGTAGAGCAAAGTTGTAGTGGTGGGACAGGCATAATATCTAATTGCAGGTCATGCTAGGGAAGATATATATTTTTAGATGGACTTGTATCATTGGATTACCCCAGGCAAACTTGCTGCCATACTACTAGGGGACCGTTAGACCAACATGAATTATAGCTCTCTATACTAGTAATATTCCGATGGAGAAAGTTTTGCTCCACAGTTAAATCGTCCTATCTTGATTTTCGTGTTCAGCTACTCTTGGTGATGCAGCATAAACATCGAGACGCCTTCATGCGGGACGTTCTGACATCACATATAATGCTCCTATTCTTTTTTGCAATAAGTGTCTACTATTTACATTAGAGTTCATATTACATGAACGGGCAATTGTCTTGCTTAAACCCAAATGTCCAATATTTGCGCGTTCTACGGATTTCCTTGTCAGATTTCGATATACCACATTAGAGGACTATGCCAAGCAACAACTGCCCACCTTTCCATGGCCCAGGATAACATTTCCCAGAGAAGCTCTGATCCAAAATAGACTGCCCTTCAGTCGAATCCCTCTAATGTCGCACAAGCTCAGAAACACAAAATCCCATTGTCACCCGGATCTAGGCCCCGTTGCCCAGGTTATCGGCACATTCCTTGCCAGGCATGGAATGAATAACCAAGAATGGATGTCGGACAGGGATGAATGGCCAAGGTCATTTTGGAAATTAGGGGTCTCGTGTATTGGATCGGAGGTCCCGCGGATGACCCTGGATGCTTTCATCCCTTCGCCCCTGTCCTCCCTTTCTTAGCTATATTAGGCTCGCTCATTATGAGGTATTATGCCAAAAGGCATTCCAGCTACTTCAGAGATTGGATGCATACGGAGTGCTTGTAGGAGAGAGATTTCCGCTTCTGGTCTTGAGACCTTGATTTCAGACATTGTAGTTAGTCTCCTTAGTGGAATTTCTGAACAATCAGTCTGATCGCCTGGTTTCCAGATTTGGTAGGGATGATGTTCTTGCTGAGTAGAAGGAATTGCGCACGCATGGATCTTTCAGTTGAGCCAACTTTGGGGCCAGATTTAGAGAGGTCTTGGTTTTACCATATTCATTGGTTTATCTAGAGTCACTCTCAACGTAGCGCTTCGTTGGATTTAACTGCTCCTACCAACTCTGTTCAACGATGGAAACATCCAAAAGGGGGACTTAGAGTTCAGTCGCAGTAGTTAGTTAAACCATTCACTGACTACGGAGTACTCCAGCATTTATTTCAGACTGAACAACTGAAGTTATGCTTGACATTATGCATGATATAGTAATCAGACTCTGTGCTTGCACTGTTTCACGTGATCACGCAAGATGCTATGCTATCTGCAAGCTCTGCTACGAAGAATAATTATAGAAAAACAGCTGCTTTGTCATTCACGCATCGATCACGTCTTCCATGGAGCTACAGAATAGCTGCATTACATACTCAGCTTTGACTGTCATAATAGCACATGAATTTGGAATCATGTGCAAGTCACAATCAAGCCACATTCAGACTGATATGTGGCTATCTTTTCCTGATTGGGAAACCCACTTCACCCTACCCGATCGGGGAATACACCCTACAGCTCCAGCCTGCATGCATCGTTTTATGCGTCGAATCAGTGACAGACAACACATTTATTCTATATCCGTATCTAGCCCAACGCCGACCTCTGGAAAGCACCAAATCATCAAATCATTCAAGCAGAAGCACAATGTCCACCATCCACTCTCAAATCCGTACCCGTCATAAACCCGCTGCCGTCAGCAAGCATATATACTGTCGGTGCCTTGAAGTCTTCTGGGACACCAAGACGGCCTAGTAGCGCACCACGCATCCAGGTCTCCTCGACTTCGGGCTTCTCTTGAAGCAGGGCATCGGTCATTGCCGTGCGGATGTACTGGTTGCATAGTTAGATTCGCGTGTATTATTCCAGTGATCATGATACATACACCTGCGGATAGAGTGTTCACACGGATGCCGTACTGACCCCATTCCTGCGCCACCGAGCGGCACATTTGGTGCACGGCGGCCTTGGAGGAGTTGTATGCGGTGCAAGTCAATCCCTATCAACCACGTTAATTTCGATCAACACATCAACGGACAGAAAACAAACCCGATTGGCAATTTGACCAGACATGGAAGCAATCATGACAATGCTGCCTGGGATGTTCTGCTCCTTGAAGATGCGGGCGCAGTGCTTCGCGGGAATAAATGTTCCGATCACGCTGGATAGTCAGTTGCTGTCGTACGTCTTGGAGCTTGGTATGGTCGCTCACTTCACATCCAACATCTTTTTCCACATATCAACTGGGTATTCCAAGGCAGGCACCATTTGTTGAATACCAGCACAGGTCACTGCTCCGCGAAGGGGCATACCCCGGCTCATTGCATCGGCGGCAACTTGCTTGAGGACCTGCTCCGTCGACTGCTCATCTGTAATGTCGCACTTGATGTATGTGGCTTTCAGGCCACGGGCCGCAGCCAACTTCTGCACGGAGGCCCATTCTTCTGCGCTAGGTTCGGGAAGAAGGTCAAGGCAAACGACATCACCGCCAGCTTCGACGACGGCACCAGCAAGGACAATTCCAAGACCGCGGCCTCCACCTGTGATCACGATTGTGCGGTTACCGAGGGAGAAGAGGTCATTTGTACGGCCGACGACGGAGGGTTGGGCGGACTCTGAAACTGCGGGAGTGGTGTGGTCAATGGCCACCTCCGGGGTGGTGTTATCGATAGCAATTGAGGGAGACATGGTGAATCGATCTGATATTAAGGAACTGAAAACTTTGGAAATCTACTGGCAAGGGGAGGTACTACGGCTGTTCAAATAACGTGGACGAGCAGCTCATGAAAGCGCTTAACGACAACCCAACTAGGAAGATCCTGTCCGATCTGCTGTGCAGACACCTCATGCTTGATTCAACACTTCTCTTAGGATTACTCTTCAAACAGCTGCAGGCGTTGATCGCATAGGTAACGACAACGGGGTTTAATACTTCCCTTGTGGGAATTTCGCGATAGTCGGCCTTGGAACCATGGCGCCGGCGGGTTGCCGGAGTCCAGCCGAGGTGGGCCCGGCAGAGGCGCGTAACATTACCGCATCCGGCAACTGTATAGGCAAACGTACGATGCCCTGTCCCGGTCCCCACCCGGTTCTCGTTTAGCGGGAAGGTCAAGTTTGGGGATACAAGTTGCCCATCTGCAGAAGGCTCTAAATTGAATAGTTGTGCCAGGCTTCGCCAACTTGAAGTTGCTGGGGTCGGGTTAGTATGGGTCCAGGCATGGCGTGGTTATATCAAAAGATATGTCCATCTGATTGCAAATATAGCCGTCTAGCCTCGCAAGGAACCGACAGAACTCTAATCAGCGGCTACCGTAGAAACTTCCCGGTCTGCGTGGTCCTCCACACCAACCCCGGTTTTGCCCTTCCGACCCCCGCAATCCGCAAAGCATGACGTCGGGCCGTCCATCGGCGGTTACATGCCCTATAAAAGTAGATGGAGCCCCTGAATGGCGCCAGCCCTAATCGCTATGCCTGTCTTCATACGTGTCTGAAGAGTACAGAAACATGACTATTCTTGTTGGAAAGCCCTTGTCATGGGCTATCACCACCACTGCAGGAAGTGGGTTCCTGCTGTGCGTCTCCTGCATCCCTTTCACATTGCATGAGTTGACCCTTGCTTAGATTCGGCTATGATCAGGGTGTCATGTCTGGTCTGTTGACCGGGACAGCCTTTACTCGAACCTTCCCGGAGATTGATACCACCGCAACGGGACACGGTAGTTCGTCATTGCAGGGGACGGTGTAAGTTATTCATAGGATGTGTACTGGGATGGTTTAGTTATAGCTGACGTGGTCAGCACTGCCATCTATGAGATCGGATGCTTCTTCGGGGCTATCATTGCCCTACTGATTGGTGAACGTATCGGTCGGCGGTGGTGCATCATAGCTGGCTGTATCATTCTTTCAATCGGAGCTGCATTGCAGTGCAGTGCGTATAGTATCCCTCACTTGATTGTGGGCCGGATTGTGGCTGGGGTTGGGAATGGCCTCAATACTAGTACTATCCGTACGTTGTGTTGGGATATGAGATAGATGGACGAGGCTAACGATGGTAGCGGTCTGGCATTCGGAACTGAGCAAGGCAGCGAGTCGTGGAAAAGGGGTGAGTGGAGACAATGAGTCGTTTCTGATACCGTTCTAACAGCTGTAGCTTGCGATTGAGCTATGTATCAACATTTTTGGCGTGATGACGGCATACTGGGTTGGTGAGTATGCCATCTACTACATATGCTGAGCCAGGGCTGACGGTTAAAGATTACGGAATGAGTTACGTGGTCAACGATGCGCAGTTCCGCTTTCCTATTGCCTTGCAGATTCTCTTTGCCGTAATCACCTTAGCAGGTATTATCGTGCTTCCCGAGTCCCCTCGCTGGGTATGCCCGTTCCTTCCTTGATGCGTAAGGAAGTATCACTAATGATAACGATGATAGCTTATTGCCCATGGCCGACACGATGAAGCACGACATGTCATCTGGGCCGTCCAGCCCAACGCCCGACTCATTGACGAGGACGACGCTGCAGTGACCGCAGACGTCACGGAAATAACCACCGCTATCGCTGAGGAGCGAGAGGCTACGCAAGAAGGTTCATTCAAGCTGGTCTTCACCAATGGCCACCAGAAGTTCTTCTACCGGACGCTGCTGGGAATGGGTGGGCAGATGATGCAGCAGCTGTCGGGTGTCAATTTGATTACATACGTGGGTGCCTTGACTTTGAGAACAACGGAATCGGTGTCTGACTTGAGCAGTACAACACGGTTATATTCGAGGATTCAGTTGGCATGAGCCATAACCTGGCGTTGTTGATGGCTGGGTTCAACGGCGTGGCGTACTTTGCGTCGACATTTGTTCCTATCTGGGCTATTGATCGGTAAGTTCCATATGCATCATTGTATAGTCTGGTCGGTTGTTGACAATCTAGGCTGGGTCGTCGGAAATTGATGCTCTTTGCGGCGGCTGGGCAATGCGCGTGCATGGCAATACTGGCGGGCACAGTATATGACGGTAGCCATGCATCTGGTATTGTCGCCACGGTCATGCTGTTTCTGTTCAACTTCTTCTTCGGTGTGGGATTGCTGGCCATTCCCTGGTTGTGTATGTTGAATACCTTTTGGGCGATCGTGGACCTAGCTAATGATAGTAGTGCCCGCCGAATATGCTCCGCTGTCTATCCGATCTCAAGCTGCGGCTCTCGCCACTGCTACGAACTGTACGTCCTACAAATTTCACGCGAAAATAACGAACGCTAATGATTGCAGGGATCTTTACCTTCCTGGTGGTGGAAATCACGCCAGTCAGCATCAAGAGCATTGGCTATCGCACGTATATCTACTTTGCCGGTAAGTCCATTCTCTCTCCGTTTAGCGATTAAAGCTGACATCACAGTGTTCAATTTCTTCTTCCTCCCCCTGATCTATTTCTTTTACCCGGAGACACGGAACCTTACCCTGGAACAAGTGGATCGGCTATTTACCGGGGAAAAGGTCCAGCTGCACTGGCACGCGTCAATGGGCGCCGTTGGGGATGCCAGCGAGCGAGTGGATGAGAAGACAGGCAAGGAGACTGTAGAGCATGTAGAGTAGACGTATACTGTGTATGAGCTAGATGTTTATGACTGATTGCAAATGATTACTATCTCCAACAATATCCCTGAATATTATTTTACCGGCTAAATGCAATGTCTGGGGAAATCCCCGACTTTCCCCACATTCTCCCCGGCGGGTATCATTTCCCGATCAGGCAATTTTTCTCTCTTCTTCCCCCATCATTCCCCGCGATCCCACATCATCACCCATCAAACTTCCCTCTTCACAATTCCTCCATCGTACACAAATGACAGGGAATTATGGCTGAAGTATCACAACCTATCGAACTACAAACCATGCCTTGCGCCGATTCTCGTCATCTTCCGCGGAAACGGACCCGCACAGGATGCGTGAACTGCAGCCGGCGCCGGCGGAAATGTAAGCAGCAAGCAAGCAATGGAGCTTGATAGACACAACAACTAGTTACTTATCTGGTTAGATACCACTGCTCATTGCTGACTTATCCAGGCGACGAAGCAAAACCAACGTGCACGGGCTGCAAGCGGCGCGGCGACAAGTGCCAATGGCGCATGCTAGGGTCCTTCCGCGAGGCCAACATCAAGATTCTGGAACCGGGGCATCCGTCCATGAATCAAACGGCCAGGGGCACTAGGAAACAGAGTAAATTCAAGGTTTGTTTTAGCTTCTTTGGATATGGGGTAGGTGTTGTTGGCTTATGGTGTTGCTTGGTAGATTCTGAATGTTGTTCCTTCTTCCCGAGCTGCTGGAAAAGAACGGCAGCTGAGTCCGCCGGTTGATGAAGGGAGAAGGTCATCGCCTTCGGCACGATCGCTTCCAGGTAATGGTGAGGGTGAGGGTGAAGTGGTGCGGCCGGATGATCTGGAAAATGTATCCGGAGCAGCTCCGGATGCTCATCCGACGGTGCTTAGTCCTGGTTCTAATCAGGCTGTGTCGCCTCTTTCGCATCACAGTTTCCATGCTCAGGAGGTTAATATCGGAAATCACCATTCGCCTCATCAGGCTAATGAATTGCCTCATCCTTACCCCGATGAAGCGCCTCACCAGCCGTACATCCATTCTAGTCCTGAGTTTGTTGTTGATGAGCTCACTGCTCTGCGCAACCTCTCCAATAATGCGGGGCACTTTCCTGGACCTGAAGTTTACCAGTCTATAACATCGCCATTGTTTGATCATAGCGTCTTCTCCGATCCGGCAAATTTGACAAATGATGTTTTCGTTCCGGGCTCAGCCTACGAAGCCCTTCATACCACACTGCGTAACCGACAGCTGTGGACTGCTCGGACGGAGATCCCCAGTCGCGCAAGTACCCCGGCATCAGTGCTTGGATATGAAGGACCCACGCCGGACACTTCACGTCTACAAAGAAGCAGACGAGCTCAGTCCAGACCAGGACGGGACTTTGAACTGACACCCGAGCGCGAGAACATACTCTGGCAGAACTATCTGAACGAAATCTGTCTCTGGGTAAGTGATCCAGACACCCCGCCGGACGAATACTAATCCTGCAGCTGGATATGTTCGACAACCACCGACACTTCGCATCGACCTTCCCTCAGATGGCTAAGTCGGCGCCACATCTGCGATATTCCATCCTTGCCCTGTCAGCACGGCAGATGGAGCGACAGCAGAACAAAAAGTCGCAATCAGAAAGTCTCCTCTTATACCAAGAGGCCATCCATCAACTTCTTCCGGAGCTAGAGCAAAAGACGACCCCTGTCATTGCGTCATGCGTCATTTTATGTGTCCTCGAGATGCTGAGCTGTATGTACCCCTCTCTTCCCTTCCGACAGTCCCCACCCACTGACAGGTCTAGGCAACCCCAAAGAGTGGCGCCGTCACCTCGACGGATGCGCCTACCTTATCCAAGCCGCGGAAATCAACGGCTTCTCGGGTAAAGAAGAGCAAGCGCTATTCTGGTGCTTCGCGCGAATGGGTTAGTTGCATCTAGTCTACCTACTTTATCCCTGTTCCTGGTGTCACCCCCCACACATCCTCTCAGATATTAGTAGACTAATGCACGACATACTGTTACAGACGTCTGCGGAGGTCTCATCTCCGAAGAAGAGACCATTATCCCGATCCACCACTGGATTCCGCGCGACATGACCCCCACGGAAGCATCCCAGCTCTTTCTCGCCTCAAACATGACCACCTTTGACACGTACGCCAATTACACCGTCTTCTTGTGTGCCCAGACTTTAGGGGTGCTCTTCGGCGGTAGCAGCCAGTTACCAGCGTCCTGCGTGTCATGCAACTATCTCTCTAGTCCCAGGGAGGGCGAATCGTATGTGCAGCGGTGGCAGCGCCTGTTTGATGATGTGGAGCAGTGGTATGAGAACCGGCCGAGTCAGATGAAGCCGATTTTTGTCCTGACAGCGGGAGGGAAGACAATGGGGAAGAGCGATGGGGAAAGACCGTTTCCGACGGTGCTCTATGGGAACGGGGCTGCTAGTATGTTGCTTATCCAATTTCCTATTTAGGAAATTGGGGATGCATCCGTAGGCAGATGGCATGGATGTGTGTACTGACTTGTGGATTCCAGTTTCCGGAAACCAGCTCTACCATGCCTGTGCATTGCTTTTGCTGCAACGAAAACCAAAGACGGTATCCCTGCCTCGGCGACCGGTGAGTCAAATTTTCTTTGTCTGTTTCATAGTGATGATTACATCCGACGGATCGGATAATTTCTTCCACTTGGGCATCTGTTTATCCTCAGATATACTTACTTACTAATACTGATACTAACAATATGTCTAGAAATCGGTGTTGTGGCACGCGCGGCAAATCTGCGCTATTTCCGCATCGAATACACACCAGTAAGTTGGTCCTTACTTCACGATATACTTGCTCTACGCAGCATGTCTTAAAGTTTAAGAATAAAGTTAATGTATGGGAAATAGTGGCTGCTGGACCAATGCCCTGCAGCCGCTGTGGCTGGCTGGCAAAGTCATGTCGCATCATTCGGAACATACCGCCATTATTGAGACTTTGACGCGAATTGAGCGTGAGACGGGGTGGGCGACAGCATGGCGAGTGGAAGACCTAAAGGAGTTTTGGGGAGATGAGGACGAGGATGTGGATGTGGATATGGATGGGGGGATGGACCTGGACTTGCGGAGTGAGAGGGCGAGAGGCAGCATCGGGAGTGTTCCTTCGAGTCGGTCGTGAGATGAGAGATTTCCACGATGTGGCATGAGCAGAGCAGAGCAGACGCAGAGCACAGTAGCGTAGCTCAATGCAGGCACGGGTCGGACGGGAGGAGTTTTTGGGGTTTGATGGATATCATTGGATTGATTGGGATGATCGAGATCGGGATCCACCAGGCCGGGAATGAGCGGGATGATGATCTTACCGAGACATGAATCGATGAATAGACATGAAATAGATAGTCTCTAGTCACACTGTAAATCTGAGCAGCAAACGTCAAGAAGACATAATGTGATCTTCACCGTAAACCAACATTCTCGGATACTATCATCAACCTTCGTCAAAAGTTAAACAATAGACAGTCAAACCTAGACAGGAAGGACGATCCCCATAATCAAGGCAGGCAACCAAGGCAGTGGATCTCAGCTTGCAGGATTCAGCTTCAGCTCTTGCCCCATCTGTGCACTATTATAGGTCCAAACCACCGACTCCTCTCCAGCCGCAGCGGATCTCGCATCCTCCCAAGCACAGGTTCTGGTTCGCGCGTGCGTCCCGATCCGCTTCCACCATCCATCCACCCAGCTAGCAAATCTCCACCGTTCATTTCATTTCTCCATTTTCCAGGGAATAATAATTATCATACAAACCAAACACCCCCTTCTTGAATAACTCACAAAAAATAAACACCAGAATGAATAGAGAAAAAAATTACCAAGTAAAATCAAGATTCAGCCGCTACCCTTCTCAGCACAACCTCCAACCCTAGCACCTCCCTCCCCATCTCCCTCAACCCAGCCCCATTATCCTCTCGATCAAACCACAACCTCCAAACCCCCTCGTCATCCACTCCCGGAAACCTTACTGCCAACCACCCCTCCCACCCCTCCAGCGTCATTCGCGATTCGTCCTTCGTCCAGTCAAATGGCCCACACACCTGGCCCTCGCTCTCGGCCCGCCCACCCCAGCACACCTCGTGCGTGGTGACGTCCAGGAAGACCCAGCGTAATGTGGGCGGTGTCTCGCCTGTGATGGTTACCAGGCCGGCTGTGTTATCGGGTGGGAATTGTGGGTGTGTGAAGAAGCCCCCATTGAAGGGGGTCATGGTGTTGGGGTTGGGGTTTTTGGTTATGTAGAGCTGTTTTGGTTAGATTCTTTTTCGGTTGTTTCAATGCAGGTACAGATTAATTCTGGGTAGTAAAGTGGGTTTTCTAGGGTTGGAGCTAGAAAATGGGGGAGACAGGGATGAGATATGTAGATGTGGTATGATGGTTGCAGGATGGGAAACATACTACTACCATCTCTAGGATGTGCATATTCCCGCAATAGGCATACCCAGGATGGAAGTAGATAGTGTAAAGAAGGTAGAAAAGAAGAGAGGAGACTTACTCGGTTCTCAGGACCCACATACACCATCGCATTATGAATCTGTTCGCGCTGTTCCGTCGTACCCTGATTCACCGAGCAGTTCACTAACAAATGACAGCGTTGTTTCCGACTGGATTCTTTCCGATTATCTTCGCTATCGCGCATGTGTTGACTCGCTTGGTTCAGACCGATCATGGTTGGGAGCATGGTGGCCATCATGGCGATGCCGAGGACCATGTTGACTGACTGACTGACAAGTAAGTTATGCTAGTGAGCGTGAGTAGGTGCCTAGCTAGCTAGCCAGGATGAACGACAAGGATCGGAGAGAAAATAATGCAAGCGAGATGGATAAGGACGGAAATAATCAGAAGGAAGAGGAGAAAAAAAGTCAGATCGGCGCATTAAGTAGGGTGGATGGGGTGGAGTCGATGCAACTTGGTCGGAACTAATCGCTAGACTTGCAGATGGAGGAAGTTAATTTAGCTTTGCAAATGGGGTGATTTATAAAGTAGTTTAGGCGGAATCGGGGGCTTTAGTTGTGTCTGCTATTTACATGGATTCTTTCTCTTCTTCTTCTTCGTCCTATTCTTCTTCCTATTCTTCGTCTTCGTCTAGGTATTCGGAGTCCGAGTCTGAGTCGCTGTCCTCGACATACTTCTACTCGCACTTTTCCCTCGCCGATTCGTTTTTGAATTCTCATCCTCATCCTCGTCCTCTTCCTCACTTCTCTGCCACCGTCAAGGAGAAAGACCAAGAACAAGAACAAGTCAAACCCACCTACCAACCTCCTCCAATTCCATCCACTGAAGACACAATGGCCGACTCTTCCTCCCCAGGGTACGTCTCCCTCCTTCACCCTTCCCATCACCTCCCCCATCCCAATCTACCCTCATACATCCAAATCCCAGCATACCTACGTAGTAACATCCTCAATTCTCCAGCCCTACTTCCACTCGCACTACCAATCCCTCATCCACAACTACCCCCAAATCACCTTCCAAGCCCCCATCCCCTACTCCCCCAACTGCATCTGCTCCCGCAGCAGCATCTACACCCAAACCTCCTTCTCCCACCCCAACCCCAACTAACATTCCCCTCCCAACCAGCAACACCCCCACCGGCAACCGCCGCAACAACCGCGCCGAAGAAGAAGCCGCCGGCGCCGCCAGCGCCATCCTCCCCAACGAAGGCATGAAGGCCCCCGGCTTGACGGCCAATAAGGAAGAGAAATCCAACCTCAAGATCAGCATTCACTTGAACTTGCATGCCAAGGTGAAGTTGGATTTGGATGCGCAGCTGTATGGTGATATTGTTATTGGGTTGTTGTAACCTTGTTATCTTGGACTGTATAGGGGATTGGGTGAGGGGGTGTGTGTATGTAAGGGTATTTTATGGATGAAAGTATGAATGAATGGACTGAAATGGGTATATGATTGGATTGTGATTATTAACCTTAGTCTTTGTGTAGGGAGGTTGTATAGAGATTGTATATGGCGGAAGTGTCTTAATCTGATGGTGATAGTGATGTCAGATATTACTATCACTGAATAATAACCATCTCGGTGGCAGTTACAATGCCAAGTATTGGTTTAAGTGCATTGAAATCAACTAGGGTGTCGCTGAAAGTAACATAATCATGATACACATGCAAGATACACAAGGTACCTGCTAAGTAACAGCATTAGTATATTCCCTCAACACCCCCCTCATAACATGCACCGGCGCCGGCCTCCCCGTGAACAGCTCATATTGCGCAATGCCCTGCTCCAACAACACCACCAGCCCATCAACCACGACCCAGCCCATACTCGATCGTTCATTCATAGCCATTCTCAGCTTCGTTTGTGGCATTCCATATGCGACCTGTCCAGTTAGCACTTCTTCAGATACTCCGGGTATATCGCACACATACATCGACAAAAACACCTCCAGTCGTACTCCTCAACCACTGCTCCGATATCTCCATCGTAACAGGAGCCTGTAACTGTCCACCGGCTGGTGCAGGCAAGCACGTCACGATAATTGTCGGTTGACGGAACCCCACCGGCCAGGGGTCATTTCCTGACCGCAAAACCTCAATCTGCAAACGGGTGTTTTTCTTCTCGGCCCAACGAGTATAGTACTCAGCTAGTTTTTGCGCATTGGAGCTAGTCCGATTATAGATGCACATCTGACGAACGCCGATCTGGTAGCATGCGTAGATAGCGGCGCGGGCCATACCGCCTGCGCCTATTATCAAGGCAGTTGTGCCATGTCGAATGGCATTAGCGGGAGAGAGATGCTTGTAAATGCAGTCGCGGATCCCGAGGTAATCTGTATTGTATCCTTTAAGAATTTTGGAAGAGGGATTGTTGGACCGCTGAATGACGACGGTGTTTACGGCGTGGATGTCCTGGGCATCTGGACTGACTTCATCCAGTAGGGTGAGGACGTCCGTTTTGTAGGGTAGTGTTACAGCCACTCCGCCGTGTTCAGTGCTGTTTAGGAGTTTGTGGATATCGGAGAATCGATCGCTGCATAATATGTTGTAAGTGTGTGGTAAGCCGCAGGCAGTGTAGGCTGCGTTGTGCATTGCTGGTGATAGACTGTTTTGGACTCTTTGGCCAAAAACGGTGAATGTTTGTTTTGTGAGGAGGTAGCATGAGGTAAGTGCTTGTTGAGCTGATGCGAGTGTGACTCCTATGTCACCTTCTGGTAAAGATGGGAGTATCACTGGTGAGAGAATAGGATTTAAACATATAGATGCTCGGCCGAGTGGCCCAGTATGGTATGCGGTTATGGGGATGTCGGTTATCTCACCCAGCCGTTTTTGTAAATTCAAGTTGGTGAGATCGCCAGGGAAGTTGGGCTCAGAAGTAATGCGAAAAGCGTCAAAGTCAAGCTCATCTGTCTTCTCCAGGAGAGAGCGAACTTCAGGAAAGATGCTCTGGTTTCCCGTCATAGAGGTTGACTGATAGGTGGCAATGATCTTTGTGTGACCTTTGGCCAGCTTTAATCGGCTAAAGTCGGGGCTGTCAACAGAACACGCCACAACATCGGGCGCCAGTCGAAGAAGCATCTCTAAGAGCTCGCAGCATCTAGGACTTGACTGCTGCGGAACCTCAATGAAGATAGGAACCCGAGTATGTTTCCGGACGGTCGCCATATGCTTGGCAATCCTTTCCATGAATCGACCACTATCAAAATCAACTGCATCTCCGTCAATCACAAGATTTACAGCGTCAGTGCCACTCTCCAGAAGTCCCAAGTCCGGATTGTTTTCCAACCAGGTCAACGGCACCTGCAGCGCATATGTATGAGACGGTGAAAACGGGTCCGAGGAGTAGAGCACATGAAAAGCGCGCCCGAAGACTTGATGCAAAAACCTCAGGAACACTCGCTCAGCCTCCTTGAGTTTGATATACGCCGGGAGTGGGCGACCAGCATAGTCAGTCACCTTCTCTTGTGTGTGATTGAAGAAGTCAAAACTGGAGCATGACTGGAAAAACTCATTGCCCGCTTCAAAGATTCGGTTGAACTTGTCAGGGCTGGTGGTCATGATGAACTGCTGAAGATCCGCCCTGTCGCGTCTGACATACACCACAGGATGATTTTGTGCAAACTCCTTTAGAAGTACCTGCTGTTGGCGATTCGCTGACCATCCCACGCCAGTGATGGTTATTACACATCCTGTAGAGCATTTCTCTAGCAGTGTGCGAGTCAATTTAAGTTCCAGCTCCCGGTATCGCGCAGGACCATGTTGAGCAATGTACTCCTGAGGAGATAGGTGCACCTCCTGGCGAAACACAGCATCAAAATCAATGAACCTGCGACGCAGCGCGACCGATGCAATGATGCCTAGGGTTTTCTTTCCGGCGCCGACGAATCCCACGAGTAGCAGGGTGGCGTCCGCACTGTACCGCCGGCAAGGGATGGATACGAGGCGGTCGCATGGCGTCAAAGGGGAGCTGAGACTAGACATTGAGCCTGATATGATAGGAATGCTCAAATTCCAACATCTCGAGTCATTGTTGGCTGCTTCAGCTGTGGCAAAGTGAGCGGACGAACTGGACAGTCAAAGTGAGACCGCCTAAATTCCTTGCCGATCACATGATCCAGACTGAAACTCAACTGCACCACCAGAAGATGCGTCTTAAAAAGGGAGAAACCGTCGGATAAATTCAGTAGCCGCTAATAACGGCATATGATATGCCTGAATCCAGGTCTTCGAAGCGCCAGCGCATCGCTCGCGCCTGTGATCAGTGTCGGCGTCGAAAATCCAAATGCGACGGAGACCAGCCAGTCTGCGCCATCTGCCACTCGGCTGGCAGGACCTGCACGTATGAAAACATTAGTCGGCACCGGGGATTGCAGTCGGGATATGTTCGCAGTTTAGAGGTGGCTTTGGGGCTTTTTCTCGAGCGGTTCCCTCGCAATGAGGATGTTTTGCGACGCTTCCTGCGCGACCCTCAGTGCAAGACGCAGCTACCGGCGAGTGAATTGGCAGAGCGTGGGCGACAGTCCAGGCTGGCCAGATACGTGTATCGAGTGCTGAACCCAGACTCACAGGATGAGTCGAGTAGCGAGCTTGATGATTCTGCAGAAACTGCATCACGAGCATGCGACATTGATGAAGGGGGAGGAGAGGAAAGAGAGGGCATTGCCCAGGAAAGAACCCCTGGCAGGCACGGAATATCTGAGGCTGTCTCAGTGGAATACCTTAATCAACCCATCCCGAGTAATGCCGACCAGCTGCTGCAGTTCTATTTTACCCATATCCACAGCTGGCTTCCTATCGTCGAGCGTCGGGACGTCCTCCGCGTCCTGCACACCCCTCCAGATGCGTCATGGTCGGCTCGAGACGCTGCCTGTCGTCTAGTGTTATGGGCCATTGTCGCCTATTCATCGGCAATGCATGATACACTGGGTCGGGGCAGCCAGGTCGACCCAACGCAGATTGCTCAATCCATCCGATTGCAAGTCCTGAGGGACATTGACCGGCTACAGCTTGGCCATCTTCAATCTCTGTTGATCGTTACCCTCCTTTACCTGGGGGTGGGCCATCTGCGTCTTGCGTGGGTACTAGTTGGCGAAGCCACGAGGATGCTCGAGATGCTTCCAGAATCTGTCAGGTGCGCTCGCTACATACACATCCGGCATGGATGCATCTTGATCGACAATCTTACTTCGGCAATCCTGGAGAAAGCTCCTTGTGCCTCGCTTGATGATCTGCGACAGTGTGCCTTAGTGAGCGAGGACGATGTGGACGAATGGGAGTTGTGGTCTATGCTGCGACCTGACCAGTCTTCAGGAGGCAGTGTTGTCACCAAGGGCCCCTTGCGAGCTCTAAGCAGTCTCAACCTTATTCACGGACTGATGCGATTTCTTACTCAGATACTCTATTATCCATCTGGGACCCTCCCTATCCAGGAGCTCATAGTCGAGCTACGGAACTTGCAAGACCTTGTGACGGCTAGGCGGCCTTATCGCGGTCTTGAATTTGCAAGCCCTCCTCTTCTTACGCTACATCTAACCACAGCCTTCGTGGTATTTTCTCTCGCGCTGAAGCACAAGACGTTCGACCCGGCCATCAAGCCGCTGGCCTTGACTAGCCTGCGCTTTACTCTTGAGATACTGGATGCATATACAGAAATCACTGGGATGGCGGGCTCATCTCCGCTGCTTCGCTGCTTTTCCTTTCAGGCCTACCGGTGTCTACAGAGTGCTCCTAGCATGTTGGGGCCGGGAATGGAGCAGCTGAGCAGTCGACTGATCAATCATATGCAGAAGCTCAAGCGAAGTAGTGAGGGTGGCACTCCAAGTGAGGCGCTACGTTTTACATGGTTGCCCGTGGGAAATCATCTTGAGTGGCCTTACATGCCAGCGCCACGACACGATTCCCAGAGGCCTTTGGCGCCTGGAGGCACTCTCTACGGTGGATTTGATCTTGCCCATGGGAATACGGTGGTAACAGACCAAGTAATGGCCATGCCCGGCTTGCCTACTACTCCTGGTGTTATGGATACTGGAAATGAAAGACAGGCTCAAGAGCCTGAAGACTTCGATGCTCTCTTTGAGGAAATGGTGGCTTCTATTCCACAAACCAGGTATGTCGATACTCCGGCTATTGTTTATTCATACTAATCATTACAGAAACGAGCCCACATTCGCCGAGAACTTGGGGTTCTATGCAGGAAATCTAGATACAGACTTCCTTGCTCAGCTGCAACATGTCCCAAACAATGGTTGATGTCAACGTATCCATCATGATCGTGATTATAGATTCAACTCCTTGGCCAACTGTTGCCAGGCTCGGATACCTCGCTGGGAATGACTCTGTGGCACGCTCG